AAGACCATAATACAGTTTATTTAGGTTTAGTATCTAGTTGGTGGGAAATTGGGTCAAATTTTTATCTAGGTCAAAGGTCAAGAACTAGGTCAAATCCAGTACTTTGTCACTTTCTTCGATTTTCTCGGTTGTCCTTCAATATTTTTGAACCGGGTTTTTTTCATTGTGTTCCTTATAAAAAAGTAGGAAACCTAAGGTTGATTTAGTTTTTTGATATCTCAAACCGATTTCGAGATATCGGTGTCCGAAAACGAGGTCCAAAAAAAATTTCTCCGAATCAAATGTCCAGGATATTAGTCTTATAGGAAATTTTCTCAGGATTCCGAATCTGAAAACGAAATTTAGATCAGACTTCCGGTTCTGAAGTTATGGCGTTTTGAAAGCTCAAAAATCGCTAAATTTTGAGCCCATGTTAAGTCAATGGGAAAAAAGATTTTTTTGAAGTGAAAAATACGAAATATAGACTAAGTTCAGCTAAATATAATGAAAGCTTTTAAAAGAATGAGACCTCAAAAGCCATCTAGCTTTAAAATTTGGACACCAAAATGCCTAGGTCAAAATCTAGGTCAAATTCAAAGTTTTTTCTTATTTTTGCGATTCTGACACTACACTTTAATTATATTCTTCGAAATTGTGTATACATGTAGCCAAGAGTGTGCTAATAGCGTTAGCCTTTTGCCGTCAGAAAGTATTGTGACCCACTTTTGAGATATGGTGTCCGAGAAGTAGGTCAAAATAAAAAGTTCTCCAAATTTAACATTTGAGTTATGAATAAAGAATAGAATTTTCTCAGAAATCCGAATCTGCAAACCAAATTTCGATCCGACTTTCGGTTCCGAAGTTATGGCGTGTTCAAAAAGTAGGTCAAAATAAAAATTCGCCAAAGTTAATGTATGAGTTATGAATTAGGGGTAGAATTTTGTCAGGAATCCGAATCTTTAAATCAAATTTAGATCCGACTTCCAGTTCGGAAGTTATGGCGTTTTGAAATTTGGGAAAATCGATCTGATGGTATCCTGATAGAAAGTCAAGAGTAGAGAAGAAAATATTGAAAAATTCATCCATCCTTCCTATCTGATCCTATCCTATCCTTCCTTCGTATCCTTTCCTTCCTATCCTCTCCTATCATATCCTTTCTTCCTATTCTGTTCTATCCTATCCTTCTTTCTTATTCTATCCTATCGTTCCTTCCCATTCTATCCTATCCTACCTTCCTGTTTTATTCATCTATCTTATTCTGGATGATTCAGCTTATCTGGATGACTCGGCTTATTTTAGATGACTGGGCTTAAAAAAGTCTGGATCTGGAGTCTGAAATTGAACTTCGTTCAATTTCCCAAGTCTAGTTATTATTATTATTATTCTTTGGGAGTTTTTTCAATAACTATGAGGTATCCAGTAAGGGCCATAATACAGTTTATTTAGGTTCAGTATCTAGTTGATGGGAAATTGGGTCAAATTTTTATCTAGGTCAAAGGTCAAGAACTAGGTCAAATCCAGTACTTTGTCACTTTTTTCGATTTTCTCAGTCGTCCTTCAATATTTTTGATCCGTTTTTCTTTCATTGTGTTCCTCATAAAAAAGTAGTATTAAGAATGTCGATTTAGTTTTTTGATATCTCAAACCGATTTCGAGATATGGCGTCCAGAAAGTAGGTCACACCAAAACGTGCTCCAAATTCAATGTATGAGTTATGAATTAGGGGTAGAATTTTGTCAGGAATCCGAATCTACAAACCAAATTTCGATCCGACTACTGGTTCGGAAGTTATGGCGTTTAGAAAACTCAAAAATCGCTAAATTTTGTGCCCATGTTAAGTCAATGGGAAAAAAAGATTTTTTTGAAGTGAAAAATACGAAATATAGACTGAGTTCAGCTTAATTTAATGAAAGCCTTCAAAAGAAGGGGACCTCAAAAGCCATCTAGCTTCAGAATTTGGACACCAAAATTCCTAGGTCAAAATCTAGGTCAAATTCAAAGGTTTTCCTTATTTTTGCGATTCTGACACAACACTTCAATTATATTCTTCGAAATTGTGTATACATGTAGCCAAGAGTGTGCTAATAGTGTTAGCCTTTTGCCGTCAGAAAGTATTTTGACCCACTTTTGAGATATGGTGTCCGAAAAGTAGGTCAAAATAAAAAGTTCTTCAAATTTAACGTATGAGTTATGAATTAGGGGTAGAATTTTGTCAGGAATCCGAATCTGCAAACCAAATTTCGATCTGACTTCAGGTTCGGAAGTTATGGCGTGTCCGAAAAGTAGGTCAAAATTAAAAAGTTCTCCAAATTTAACGTATGAGTTATGAATTAGGGGTAGAATTTTGTCAGGAATCCGAATCTGCAAACCAAATTTCGATCTGACTTCAGGTTCGGAAGTTATGGCGTGTCCGAAAATTAGGTCAAAATAAAAAGTTCTCCAAATTTAACGTATGAGTTATGAATTAGGGGTAGAATTTTGTCAGGAATCCGAATCTGCAAACCAAATTTCGATCCAACTTCCGGTTCGGAAGTTATTGCGTGTCCGAAAAGTAGGTTAAAATAAAAAGTTTCCAAATTTAACGTATGAGTTATGAATTAGGGGGAGAATTTTGACAGGAATCCGAATCTGCAAACCAAATTTCGATCCGACTTCCGGTTCCGAAGTTATGGCGTGTCCAAAAAGTAGGTCAAAATAAAAATTCGCCAAATTTAATGTATGAGTTATGAATTAGGAGTAGAATTTTGTCAGGAATCCGAATCTTTAAATCAAATTTAGATCCGACTTCCGGTTCGGAAGTGATGGTGTTTTGAAATTTCAGAAAATCGATCTGATGGTATCCTGATAGAAAGTCAAGAGTAGAGAAGAAAATATTGAAAAATTCATCCATCCTTCCTATCTGATCCTATCCTATCCTTCCTATCTATCCTTCCTTCGTATCCTTTCCTTCCTATCCTCTCCTATCATATCCTTTCTTCCTATTCTGTTCTATCCTATCCTTCTTTCTTATTCTATCCTATCGTTTCTTCCCATTCTATCCTATCCTACCTTCCTATTTTATCCATCCATCTTATTCTGGATGACTCAGCTTCTTCTGGATGACTCGGCTTATTTTAGATGACTGGGCTTAAAAAAGTGTAGATCTGGAGTCTGAAATTGAACTTCGTTCAATTTCCAAAGTCTAGTTATTGTTATGTTCATCAGATCGCAATTGTTGAACCAATTCCCAGAATCGTTTTGGATCTGATTTTTCTAGAGAGTCGATTTGCTTCAATATATTCTGTTTATATATTTTCATTGATTTCCTTAAAAACGATTTGTAGGTTTTTTTTTGTTCCAAATATTTGTTTCTGAGAAAAGGATCATTTGGGAATTTATGCAAAAGTTTGCCTAAATATAGTACCTGGCGTTTAATCTTCTAACAATCTTTATTAAACCATTTTTTGTTTTTATTTTTATAATTCTTTGAAGGTGATTTAAATTTTAAAGACGAATTAGCAGCGTCTTAAATAATTGATGACAATGCATCACAGCATTCGTCAATACCCATTTGGTTATTGCAGTAGTCTGTATTATTGAACGAGTCTATCTTATTAACAATGTCTGATGATTTTAGCGCTTCGAGGAATTTACTTTTAGAAATATCGTTCCAAATGAATTTGCCATTATGAGGTTTGAGCTGATCGAAATTTGAATCGATTTGACTTGGTATCTCCATTTGTAAAGCAATTAATAAATGATCCGATAGATGAGTTGGATGTTTAACCTCAAAAGTATTGGTACATGGGTAAAGAAGTTCACTGACTATACCATAATCAATGGTACTGCAACCTAAATGGTTAAAAAATGTATATCGTCCCCATACGTCACCTATCTTACGCCCATTAAGTATTCTTAATTGAAAACTATGGCATAATTGTAGCAAACATTTTCCTAGCGCGTTTACTGTTTTGTCCATATTCATACGTGGACCTATATCAATGTCTGGTATATATCTCCATATAATTATCTGAATCATCTGGAATATAATCTAGCTTGTCAGATGTTCGGCCGTTAAAATCGCCTAAAAGCATTAGATCGCCCAAATTGGAATACTTTGCAATATCCCTTTCTAACATACTTATTTCACTTTCATTCTCATCTGATTGAGTCTCATTTGGTCGTAAATACACTCCACATATACAAATGTCATTAGAGGCGGCGAAGAATTGTTTGTTAAATTTAACCCATATTGAGGAATTTGACATTTTAATTATTTTGATACCCTGTTTTATCTCATTTCTGATAAGTACTGACAAGCCTCCTGAATGCCGTTTGGCCCCGGGACTTTTGGTCCTTATTACACTCTAACTATAAAAACCTTCAATAACGAAATTTGACGAGAGCCATGTCTCTTCCAGGAAAATTAAATCGTGTTGTTTGACTTCGTACTATCTGACAACTTGGCTTGAGTCAAGCCCTGAATATTCCATGCTGCTAATTTAATATAACGCCTACTTTGATTATGAAAAGCTGCCATCCAACTTGACATCGTGTGACCAATACTTAAAGACAAATTTAAAGCCGAGTTCTTCAGAACCCTAAACTTTGCTAATAATTGTACAAGGAATAATATTACCAGTAATCCTATCTAAAAACTTACCTATAACAGATTAATTAGAAAAAAACATAGATGTATGTACGACAACACACTGCATCATAATCATATAGTTTTCTATGTTGATACACAGATCATTCGGAATGATCAAAGATCAGTAATTTGAGATTTGTAATTGCTGTACATAGATATGATGCGGTGGATTAATATGAGTTATCTAAATATAAAACAACATTTATTTGAGATGCTGTAAAGAAGTTGTATACGGTGGCTGTTACACACCGTTTTATCTGGTAATACATGCATTCATGTTTTACTAACCAAATGCATTTAATGCATTATTCAATTAAATCAAGTGCAGCATTAACGATAGCCTTGCCCCAAGTCGGTCTCTTTTACTTATCTTGATTTCTATTATGACCGCCTTGTACCAAAGAGAAAGTCACGTGCTTTACCGACAGTTTGTTTATGTCGGTGATTTAATAATTCAAAATCAGATAGAGTAAAAAATACCGACTTGGGACAAGGCTACATTAACGACACTACGTAGAATATAAGATTTTGTTATACATTCCACCCTGCAAAGTATTGGGATGGGTGATTATGTTGAACTGGTATTGGTTGCCACTGATATTGTGGATATTTTGTATATTGTGGTTGCTGCATATTAATATGATGCGGTGGAATTTGTCCCTGCCAAGGACTTGGATACATTTGTGGGTACACATGGCTAGTAGACTGTCCTGTCGGAGTCGGTAGTGTTTTTTGTAATTGATATTGTTTGCATCGTTCACATAGATAGGTTCATCACTCACTGGTGTCACATGTTTCACATCCTTGGACTGTGATTCTGGTTTGGGTCGGGACGTCTATTGGTTCTTGTAGGCCACCCCAGGACTGCAGAACGAATTGAAGCTGCGAGTTTAATCGTGCCACTTTTATTTGGATGGGAACCGCCCTGTTGTATGTATGTGCCCTCGGACTTCAAGGAGAAGGCACTATGCGTGTCTATGATTGTCATGTCGGACTTAAGACACATTTGTTTGATATGTTCATTCACTGGGATAACATCAAACCCATCATACCTGGGTAGAAGGCTGCATACATATATAGACGCATTTGGATCTTTTTCTCTTATTGCTCCTACTAATCGTATGTAGCCTTTATTGATAGTCTCTAGGGAGTCTCCGTTTGCGAGATTATTTGTCCCTATTGCAATAATGTATCTTTGTTTCGTTACATCGGACGACGAAATCGTGTCACAAGCATCTTCGAGAGTGTATGCCAGTGTTTTGCTTACAATTTTACCTCTGAATAGTAACCTCCTGTCAATGGCTTTACCCGTGGAATCATGTATGAGAAGAGTATCTGAACCATAATCGTGAGTTGTATTTTGAGGGATACTAGTAGACTGAGGTCGTTTTGACCTGGGAGCTGATGTCTTCGAGTTTAGCTTTTAGTTCTTCATTCTCTGCTTAGCCTTGAGTTTCATGAACTCCGCATTATCATGTACTGATTTATTTTCTTTCATATCGCAATTTGCTCCACATTCAATGTGTTCATCTTGATGGTTTGGCATTTTAGCTTTGAGCTCGTTAATTTCTGCCTTGGTTTTTAAACCTTTAACACTTTCTGTCTTATTTTCTTTGATGTTATCGTTTTCTACTCTAGTCTGCATATCAGCGGACTTGGCGGCTTCTAACATTTGCATTTGTTGAACTTGTATTTCTAATTTAGAAATCCTCGCAGTAGTCTTTTGGCTTTCACTGGTATTTACGCTTATACGTTTGTTACATTCATCAGTGAATTTATTGAATTTATGTTCTAGTGTTTCTATTTGATTGTGTCTACGCTGTGTTTCTAGTTTCACTGCAGATTTCAAGCTTGACATCATCTCTCTTTGCTCCTCTTGAAACATATCGTTGTTTTGTTTCAGTGTTATGTTTTCATCTTTGATCTCATTTAACGCTAACGAAAGTTCAACTAGTGATGTTTGCAGATTCGAAATTACCCTTTCCACGTCGGTTAATTTACCTTTGGGTGACACACAATGGTAACTTTCCTTGGCGCCATTCATCAATTCGGGAATTTCCTTAATGCATTCATTTTTATCACCTGTATTTTTCTTTCCGTCAGTAGCGCTTTCTTTCTCCTGAATGATATGATCAGTTTTGCTTTTATTTCTGATAAGCATCGGGGAGAATGCCATAGCTGGTATATCGTCAAGTTTTTTTCGTGTATGTCTCTTGATAATTCTGTCTTGGTTTGTTGTATTTGTATTTGTTACATTACGCGTCATTTCAGTGCTTTGAAATGATATGTCATCCTCATGTTCATTTTCAACAAGGATCGTGTCATCTTGCTCTGTAATTCCTTCTTCTATGTCCATGCTCAAGAGCATGGGGAAATCTGTTTTGAATAGACTCGCACGCGCCCCTTGAACTTGAATAGTACCGGTAGATAAAAACATCGTTATCTTAAAGCACTTTTCGTCATGTATCCCCTTGAGATTTACATCAACTGAAACAAACTTCCAGATATCACTATCGTCTGGTTTCCAATCGATATCATATATATTTTTCTTCCAATCATTATAAAAGAGCCATAACACGCTGACCCAGTGAGGTAAACGATCCACCGTCGTCTTAAAAACAATGTAGTTGTCTGAACCATCATCAGTGTTAATGGCTTCAAATATTGCTTTTTTAGCTTTTATGCCCGATGGAGCTTTCAGTTTGATTGGAATTTTTCCTTTACATTGTTTCTTTACATCATTGTATTTGTTTTTAACATTTGAGTCTTCACAATACGTTTTGAGATCATCAGCACTCATAATGCAATCATATGTACAAAATCCCGGTAATTTCGTTAAAAATTACACTGAACGAAACGACTGTTCTATGACGTCTTTCCCATAGGCTAAGGGTTAAGTAATAGTAAGCTGTATATAGAAGAGACAGGTAAACAATTAGGATTGAAAAAAATTTCAAAAACTTGCCGTCTTGGTACGAGTTCTCCTTACTGGTATCGAGTCGTACCACCAAATCTCCCAAGAATCTTCTCCAAAGTGTTTTCGAAACGTATATTGTTGAATATTTCAAATCTATATCCTAACTCTTCGATAAGACAGCATAAAAAACACCAACTGTACGAACCTGCAATTGCCCGGCAAGTTGAAACTTCCGGACACATGAAAAGATTGAATCTTGTAACGATTGATTTGATTGGTTGTAATTAGAAGTTTAAAATTCCAAGAAAAATGTTAATTTCACCATTTAAATTGGGTTTAAAAAGATATTATATGAATCAGATGTTTTGATAAATAATTATTAAGTAAACCTTTTATAGTTTTGTACACTTAAATTGATTGTTATTTCTAGAAAATGAATTACATTTTAGAGAACCAGATAGGTGTCACTGGCGGCGGTTAGCAGGAACCAATCAAATTCCTTGTTTCAAACTTCCATTCAACACGGAAATCCGGGTAACTTGCCAGGCAATTGTAGGTTTTCAGAATATCTCGCCCCAAGACGGCTTTATTCACTCTATATCACTTGAATGTGGTTGATTCATAGGTAAGAATTGAGAACTATCAATTTTGGATCAACTCTGCATTGTTTTTTGAAAATTATACACAAATAATGTTAAAATCGCCATGTTAACAAGTGGCCTAAATCCTAGTTGTTCACCTGTCTCTTCTGTATACAGCTTACTATTACTTAACCCTTAGCCTATGGTCTTTCCTATGGTTGAAGACCACAGTAGAGTTTCCCATAGGTGGCCATTATAACATTTTACCCTGTATCTTATTAACGATTAGTATCCAAGCCTAGTGCAACATACCACAGTGTTCGGGAGAGACTCGCCTAGCCTGCTATAACAATCTTACCATGGGTTGTCCACCGAATTTTTGAAATAAATAAACTTGAAGACACTAACCCCCTCTATCGTCAGATTTCTCAGAGAATTCTGGTAAAATCACCAAGGTCAAAATCACTCCGCCGCCAGCTTAAAATGAGATTTCCCACTGAACTCTGACTGTTTTCAGATAAATTAGGACCTACCCTATAAATATTTAGTCCCGATTCATTTCCCAAACGCCAGATGGCGCTCCGATGGGGTAGGGAAGGAGAAAATGACTTTTTATTCAGAAAACCAAATTACTAACCGCTAATGTCCTTACTCAGGACTATATCCTATATCGGCTGCTACATGGGCGATAATAGGGTGTGAGTCTAACATTTAAATCAAAAGTCCTCACCATTTGATCTTCTTAACTTTGCATCTCTCATTTCAAGTGTCATTTGCGTCTCTATAACGTATTCTATTTTATATCCTATGTACTTTTAGCAAATTCCTTATCTAAATGTCACATTTTAAGATAATGTGCCAAGCGAGTAAAGGGTGATATGTAATACGTTGAATTGCCGAACGTAACTAACAATATGTTTTCTATCAATTGAAGTACCCATGATAGTAAAAAATATCAATCAAACAATTTGAAAAATTATGAATAGGGACCCCATGTCAGCATTTTTTCTAAATATTGAACCTATTTACTCAAAAGAGGATCTTTTCTTTTTCTTATTTTTATTGCATGAAAGCATTATTATCCTGGAAGTCCTGTCTATCGAAGTATTTCGTTTTCAAATTTTTTTTTTTTTTTTTTATTTATTTATATATTTATACAAAGAATACAGTAAACAAGTGCACATGTGCTTGTGGCTGGGCATCAGCATTATCAGCCACGTTATATGATGAAAATCAATTAACAGTATTCAATCAATTATTAAAATAGGGGTTGTATTTGTGGAGGGTTACAGTGGTGGGGGTGACCTAGACATTTTTACATCGTTCAAAAAAGATGGCACTACATTTGAGGATATTTAAGTTTACAGCTTTAGGTAGCCTTTTATCGCCATTGAGGATAAGGGAGAGTTTGTCTCGTTGTGATCTATATTTAGTAGAATATTCTATGTTCATATTTTTTAATTCATTTTCAAATTCTGTCCAAAATGTTGATCTTAGATTACAGTGAAAAATTACGTGATTGGTTGTTTCACCATCCATTCCACACTGGCAAATGGGGGAGTTTATATTAGAGAAATTGTGAGCGTAAAGGTGAGCCTTAAAAATGAGATCACAGCGCACTCTATTGAAAATTATTTCTTGTTTTCTTGAAACGGAGAGATCTGATGAATTTGTAACATCGTCATTGAATAGATCTATTTTAAGTCTGGATTTGAATATACTAAGGGTAGGTAAATTTCTTATTTCAGGTGAAAGCTTATTCCATTCAGTCAGTGTTTTTGATATGCAAGATCTATTAGAAAATGAGGATTTATTAGGAATTGTGTAGCTCAGTTGATTTCTTAGACCATAAGCATGGTTTCTTTTGAGAGGCTCAAATATGTTAAGAACATAAGAGGGCTGCATATTATTATGTGCCCTATACATGAAAATGCTTCTGTGATATTGACGCCTCTTTGTTAATGTTGGCCAATTTAAATTATTCAACACTTTAATTGTCGAAGTCCCATGTAGAGTACCTGAACAAATGCAAGCGGCTTTATAGTAAAGTCGATCTAATAACTGTAATTTTGTTGTGTTTGCACACCCATATAAAATATCACCATAGTCAAAAAGTGGCAGGATAAAAGATTTAAAGATTGTTTCGAGATGTTTTCCATTTATTTTCTGACAGAGCGCTTTCAGTGGATTTAAAAGTTTGTCTATTCTTGCACCAAGTTCAGTTATGTGAAGGTCAAAAGTGAGATTTCTGTCTAGGATTAAGCCTAAGTGCTTATGGCTGTTTACTCTTGGTATAATGTCGTTTCCGAGAGAAAGATCTATGGTCAAAATTTCACGTTTCTTTGGATTGCAAAAGGTCAAATCTTTGCTTTTAGAAGCTTTAAAATTTAATTTCCATACTTCAGACCATTGAAAAATATGGTTGAGATCCTCCTGTAGGGCATTGTTCATTTCAGTTGCTGTTTCAGCTGTGAATGACTGGTAAATTGAGGTATCATCTGCGTAGATGAAACATTTTGAATTCAAATTGTCAGGTAAATCATTGATATAGATCAAAAATAGGAGGGGCCCCAGGATCGAGCCTTGAGGAACTCCGGAATTGATATAACCCTTTTCAGATAAGTTTGACTCATGACCATCTAATACCACCTTCACTTGTCTGTGTAGTAAATATGATTTCATCAATTCCAGGATATTCGGACCAAAACCAAACATTTTCAATTTTCCTAATAGTAGCCCATGGGGCATTGAATCAAATGCAGCCGAAATATCAAGATATATCCCTCTTACATTAGCCCCATTTTCAATTTCATTTGTTATGTGGTCAATAATACTTAGAAGTTGTGCCTGTGTGCTATGTCCTGGCAGGAAACCACTTTGAAGATTGTAAAATAAATTGTTAGAAATGAGATGATCAAAGAGTCTTTTAAAAATAATGCGCTCGGCGACTTTAGAAATACAAGACAGGAGTGTTATTGGGCGATAATTTTTCACATCTGTTTTATCTTTGTTTTTATGAATAGCTACAATATGACCGACCTTCCATAGTTGAGGATATTGATTCAAAGTAAACATTTTGTTAAGCAGTTTTGATAAAATAGGTGAAAGTGATGGTGCTGCCATTTTTAGCATTCTATTACTCAACATGTCAGGGCCAGTGGCTTTATTAATATTTAAGCCGAGTAGAATGTTATAGACTTCTCTGTCATTGGTAGAGAGCAGGTCAAATGTTATATCGGTTCTTGGAATAAATGGTTCATTTCCATGATTATAATTATTATGGTATTTGTCAATAAAATGTGATAACAATAAATTTGCTTTGTCGCAACTATCAGTGTAATTATTACCATTGGCATCGTTGAGGAGGGGTATTTTACTATTTTTTGATTTGCCTAGGAGCCTACTAATAATTGACCAGTACCCCTTACTTCCATATCTATGAGTTGTTAATTTTTGGTACAATCTTGATTCCATTGCCTCTTTTGCCTCACTTATAGCCTCATTTACCAGTTTACATTGATCTGTATATTTTTGAAGGTACATGTCATTATGAGTTTTTCTATACTTATAATGCAATTTATTTCTTTTATTAATTAATGTTTTAATGTCACTTGTGAACCATGACTTGTTAGTAGATTTTACAACAATTTCTGAGTTTGGAATGAGGTCTGTGAAAATTGCAAGTAGACTTCCAGAAAATATTTTGATAAGGTCATCAAAGTTGTTGTTAGTGTCTATTAAATGATCAAAATTTGCCGCACGGATTGCATTGTTAACTAAGTTAATGTCTGCCTCATCATATTTCCATATTTTCCTTGAATACGGGCGATTTTTTGATTACCAAGAAAGCACTCGGTGTTTATTGAACAATGGTCTGTGTTGCCAATTGGAGGAGAGACATAAGTATTTGTAATGATGTCAGGGTTATTTGAGATGAGTAAATCTATACATGATCTGCTGATGTTTGTTATACAAGTCGGTTCATCAATGAGTTGCACAAGTCCAAGTTCCTCGATACATTCAAATAAAAAAATTTCCTGTAGTGTTTTCATTATCCAAGGCCCACCATTCTTTACATCTCGCATTGAAATCTCCATTGATAAAAATTGATTCAGGGTTATTATCAAGTGCCAGATTACATGAAGCTGTAAACCGATTACAAAAATCATTTGCATCATTTTGAGACTGAGAAGGTGATCTATAATATATTGCATAAAGGTAAGATTTATAGTTAATGGTTAACTCAATCCATAAGGAATCACCCTGATCATTCATGAGGTCATATCTTACTTTAAAAGGTATGTCATCTTTAACATATATCAGAAGTCCTCGATTCTTGTTTAAGTATACATGAGAATGACCATCAATAGAATACTCAGAATTAATTACCTCTTGGGTTAAGTTTCCAACTTCACAAAGTCCAATAATGTCAATTCCATTCATGTGAATTCTATCTTTTAGTGCTTTAAATCTGGCATTTACATTGGCACCTATACTGTTAATATTTGAGAAAATAATTTTTGTGAGTTGAAAGTTATTTGTAGGTCCTGGATTTGGGTGAACATCATTGCTCAGTAAGAGAATAGCTTGGACTGTGTTAGGTATATAACATAATAGAGCACAGAATGGAATAAACATTAAAAATATACTTGCAAACATCTTAATCATATAAAATGTTCCAAAATGTTTGTGATTGCCATGAATATATATCATTGTACTCATGAAAGTAAATGCAGGGAGAGCCACCAAGAATATACTAATGCATCCAAGTAAAAGAATCTTATAAGATATACAGGCAGTTTGTCTCATTGAGCCTGTCATGTTGAGGTACAATGTACATGTTATAACGAATGTAAGACCAAAGTACCATAAAATTCTGAGAAATAAATTCAAATAATTTGGACTGCATTTATTGGGGACTCTGGTTTCTCCGTTATATAGTGCACAAGATTTTTGGCAATTGTATATTCCAATACATATCCTCCATGCAGAAACACTAATACCCATGAAAGTTTTAAAAAAAAAGTTCTATTTACCAAAAAGACTGATGTATCATGTCTGGTCAGCCTAGATGATTATAAATATGCTCTGCCTCTTATTCTTATTGTGAAATAAATGTAATATGCAATATGTTAAAAAGAGCAAGGCTTAGAGTAAACTCTAAAATAAAACGGTTTTCCACCAATAAAACTGTATTCCTCCACAAAAACACCAGATTATTTAGTTGATTGTGTAACTGGTTATTAGATAAAAGCAATGGAAAGTAAATATAAATTTTTGTTTGACGTTTTCAAATCTTGCATTCACGCCATGTGGAACAGTCATTCTGGGTCATACAAAAATTTAGTATAAATCTAGAGGCCTGTAGATCGACCGATGTCCTGGCGGGTGCCGTACGGCCATCGGCAGATAGCCTTGCGATCCCCTTGCGATGTCTTTCAGATTCAATTGATTGCGGGCGCCTTACGACGCCTGTACTAATGTGACCATACTCACGATTAGATCAAAACATCGGTGAAAAGTCACCGGCGCCCGGTCGATTTAGAAATCAGCCGATGACTACTCATCGGCCGGCGCCCGGCGGCTATGTGACCTAGGCATTAGTCGATGACATCCCGTGATAATATCTAAGTTCTTTAGCGTGAATACGTTATTTCCCTGGCTGGAGAGAGAAAGCTCTCGTTTGCTCAACTATTAAGCATGCACTAAAAAACATTGATTATATAGAATATATATTAAGTAGGTCAATCGACCTACATTTTAGCCGAGAAGTCTGCTTTAATCAGTTCGCATACCCTTGGCTTCAATTAACATTATTAATTCACATCACTTCTCTACTTACACCTGATCACTTTATTGGATTTATTGTAGAATTAAGAATTAATACGTATTCATGGATTTACTATAGAATAGGTTACCATGGAGATGGATATACTTGAAGTATTTTGTATAAATCTTCTGATGACACATTCATAACAAATCTACCGTAACTCCAAGAAAAATATACTGTGGTTCGAAAGCACGCAAGAGTTATCGTAAGTATCCATTCGGTATCTCAGATAACGTGTAAACTATAATTTGATATTGTTTTACTATCCCAACTAACGAAGTTCGGGTAGAGAGAGAATCCGCCCGTTCGTCCGGTCATCTGTCCAGACGATAACTCATACAAGTTTTAGGATTTGGTTATGGGTGTAGAGCCTTCGCTTTGTTCGCTTCTGTTCATGAAGATTTTTTGGGGATTGCCACTTAATTCAACATTGCCACCATTCTTATGATGTAAAGGATTGGTATTGATGTAAAGGATTGGTGTGTTCAAAAGGTTCATCATATCGATACCAATCCTTTTGATAATTATAATAATATACAGTATACCAGTTATCGGATGTGCTCAACTAGTGGGCCTTTTTAATACGAAAAACGGGCCTTACATTTTCAAAATTTGCCCTAATCTTTGGTTATATCGGCCAAAAAATCAAAGAGGGTGGCGGCGGACTAATCAAACTCATCTCATCTTTGATATCAAATACATTTACAAATTGAATGGCCTATTCCATTATTTTAATACTCAGAACGTCTGGCACTATATAACCGCAAAAGGATGGGTATCGATATGGTGAACTTTTTGAACACACGTTTCTCTTAAACCAGTCATCAAAAAATTCCGAAAATTTTACACAGTGTCGATTTAATGGTCATCTTTGAAAAGTAACAATATAATTTGAAAAATATATATACTTTCATCTATATTGTTTTAGAAAACACATTAAACACTTGTTTTGTTCTTGGTATCATGTTTCCAGAGTGAAATGAAACATCTTTCCGAACCTCATTGGAACAAAACGAACATAAACATAACATGTTTAGGTCTCTCAATATTGTAATTGTACAAAGGAAATTTTGGTTGATTTTAAAAAAGTACCTTGTTAATGAAATAAAAGGTTTATCTTGATTTTTATCTATTTTGGGGGATTTTGTTTTAATTTTTTGAATACTTTTTTAAAATCAACCAAAAATTCCTTTGTATAACTATAATATAGAGAGGTCTAAAAACATGTCGTATATGCTATTTTGTTCCAACGAGGTTCGGAAAGACATCTTATTTCATTCTCAAGAATTGGTACAAACGAGCAAAAACAATTGCACTAAAAAACAAAAAATGTTAAGAAAAACAGTTATATAAAATATTTTTATATAATTTTCGCATTAAATTGTTGTCAATCAGTCAACATTACATAAAAAACCGTGTTTTTTTACAGAATGTTTTCAATGATTGGTTTAAAAGAAAAACATTGTTGAATTCAGTTCTCCATATCGATACAAATCCTTTGGTTTATGTAGGTTGGGGAAAAGAGCGTTTAAAATCAAAACAACCAAACAATGAAATCAGTCATCTTATGGATAAACATAGTAACGTACCAAGTTTTTGACATTTGTCATTTGATTCACATTTTCTTGATTCCTGACTTTCCCCAGAGCAAGTATTGCCTCCACCTGAGGGTGCAGGGTTGGTACAAGACCTCCTACGCTCTGACTGCCCCTCTCCGCACTCACTGATACAGCTGCTCCACGCACTCCACGCTGTCCATGCACCATCAGCTAGAATGCATTCAGTCATCTATCATGTTTTTACAGCATAGTAATGGTATGTGACATATACTCCTCAGAAACGTTAAGGACCAGTATTTTCCTCATTTCCTTATTTTTCCTTTGCATGTTAAACCTTATGTATCTTTAAACTTTATTTTCTAAGCCCGAAACGAAAGAAAACTAATAATGTAAATGGATATGTACCTTGACTCTATTCTCTATATTTCAGGAAATTTTCAATTTAATCTCCCTATTACAATAGGTCAAAAATTGATGTCAAAGTTGAGGAATTTTTTTAAAAAATGGGAAATGGTGGGTTAGGGGCAAATCAGATTTTCGGATATGTATTCGGTAAAACATTTATCAAAAATAATGTCTTAGTAGACAATTTACTTTTTTACTTTGTGCATGCTTTTTGTTAAGCTTATTTTGTGAGAATTACCGAAATAGAGCATCAACGTATTTTTGACAACTCATTTTGACCCCCTGTGTTATTTCAATGTTATTTCAGGTTTTATGAGAAATGATTTTGTAAAACCTGGAGAAACAAATCAATTTTTTTGTAGACAATGAGTTAACAAATTCAATTGTCTATTTACATTCCATTTTTGAGAGGAATTGAATTAATTGATATTTTCTCATATGACTTTTGGCAACCCAACCATTTCCCATTGGATTCAGGGTTCTGCCATTTTTTTAATTTTCCTCAAATTTGACATAAATTTTTGACATATTGTAACGGAAATATTGAACTGAAAATTTTCTGAAATATAGAGAATAGAGTCAAGGTACATATCCATTTACATTATCAGTTTTTATTTCGTTTCAGGCTTTGAAAATAAGAGCTCGAACAGACATGGGGTCTAACATTTAAACCTATGAGGAAAAAGACTGGTCCTTAACTTTTTTTAGGGGTATATATTATAAAAAGGAAGATCATCAAGAGAGGCCTAGAGAGGATTAACAAGAACAAAAAACTATGGGCGACCCCAATGGACAAAACCTCAAAATATCACACAGGAGGAGTAGTAGATGGGTTAACTGCATTTTAGGGGGTCTGGACTTCAATCTATGATGCAAACGTTTCCTTTGACATGAGAGTACCTTAGGACCATAGAAACAAATTTATCCAAAGACACACGCCAGATGGCGCTTTATATTGGAAACATTCACATTTTCCAAAATGGCCGCCAAAAATACAACGGAGACAATATATTTTCTTCTATGCATACTATAATGATACGATTGGTGCCTAAATATACATTTTGTGGGTGAAAAATCAATTTAGTATGGATTTGAGTCTTGAAAATTAAGAACTTCCTCGCTATATTAAAAATTTATGCCTTTTTCAAAATGGCTGACAGAGATGTAACAAAGACGATATCTTCACGTGTATGCTTACTACAATAGTAAGATTGATGTCCAAGTATACATTAATGGGTTGTAGAATTCATTGTATAAGGTTTATAGTCTTTATTTTCCCAATGAAGAAAGTTAAGTGGGGATATAGTGAAGCCTTCCGTCCGTTAGTCCGTCAGTCCATCGTCTGTCTTATGTATGATTTTGCAATAATTTTCAGATTCCTCCAAAGTATGGCCATATGTCAATTAAATTGAAGATGTTGTTAAATTTTATGATTAATTCAAAATGTCTCAGAGAAGGAGTTGATTAGCTATTACTTACAAATATGTCGTCAAGGTATGATTACAGTATATTAAGTTAGATCTAAAAAAAATTATTGTCTAAATATGATTTTTAGCATTGACTAAATGGTCAACAAAATGTTTAAATCAGCGGAAAATCTGATATTGTACTGTATGTCTATTAGTTAACAAACATTTTCACTTTTTATTGAAAATGTATGCCTTTTCTCAATGGCTGTGGAAAATATTACAAAAACTTATATCTAACAAGGGCTCTTTAACTTCTTCAAAAGAAGAATACCTGTAGTTTGAAAGTGTAGTTTTGAATATCAATTTGCGATGACGGAAACCATGCTGAAAACAATGGATAGCATGGGAGATGTGGTTTTCAACTTCAGCGCATTTCAAATGCCGTCCCATTTTAAGTAATTGTTGATATAAATTGAAGAAACTTTTGATATGTTTAAATTGAGAAAAACAAGTACAAAATAAGCTTAACATTTAAAAAAGTGCCAAGGTGGGATCCTAATCCATAATTTTCCAGAAAGTTGGATTCATATTTTACAATCATGGGGACTTCACTTGAAATAAAACACATTGTTTTGATAATAAAAACCGTATTTATGGCCATGAAGTACTCATGTTGAAAGACATATTGCCGTTTAAAATCTTAAAATCTTCATCTCTTAAATGTTCAAATGAGAAAATAAGAATATGAGTAAAATGAGTGAATTTGAGTAAAAAGAACATTGAAAGATAATACACATTTGCTGTGTTAGGGCGAAAACGATTACACATAATCCAATTAGCTACTATTACTATTAACTACTATTAGCTATTAGTAGATGCGAGTAGTAACAATCTTAATATTTTCACCATTAGAAATTCAAAATTCAGTCTTACTGATGTTGAATTTGGAATCGTCATGAAAAAATACATCAAGAAATGTGATTTTGAAAAGAGTCCATCAACTTTAAAATTGAATTTTCTTCGAAAATGTGACATTTAGGTCAGGGAGTTTCCCCATAGTCCCCATGTTGTAAAACACAAAATGATTTATCTTTTCTTGTGTTGTGCAGATAATATTTTCTTTTACTGGAGATATTTTGATTTGTACAACTATCAGATACAAAAGAGTAATATGAAATGCGAACCAATAAAAAGTAAGAATATTCAAGTTTAAGGGAACTGTGTAATACCCTGCAGTGTTATTTCACCCGAATTAACCACCTGGTGGGGAAAATGGTAATTTCCTACTTGCGTCTGAGTAATTAAATAGATCTTATTATGAAAGACCTATTTAAATGGATTCTACCAAATATTAATGTATACTTTGACACCACTCTTATCATTGCAGCATGCTTAGAAGCGAAGATATCTTCTTTGTTATATTTCTGACAGCCATTTTGAAAAATGCAAACATTTTGAATATAAAGTGCAAGTGCTGAATTAACAAGACTCGAAACCTGATTAAATAGTTTCTACAACTACATTAATGTATTTTTGACACCAATATTATGATTGTAGCATGCACAGGAGCAAAACTATTGTCTCTGATGTATTTTCGGCGGCCATTTTGAAAAATGTGTATATTTCCAATATAAAGCGCCATCTAGCTTGTGTCTTTGGATACATTTGTTTCTTTTGCCCTAAGGTATTCCATGCAAAAGGGGACATTTTGTAAGGTAAGATATCTTAATTTGCAAGTATTCGTAATGTAAGATACCTTCTTAGTTATATTTCAGTCATTTTGAAAACGCGTATTTTTTTAATATAAAGTGGAAGTTCTAAATTTTCAAGACTTAAGATCTAGTAAAATAGATTCTACGACTACATCACTGTATTTTGACACCAATCTTATAATTGTAGCATGCACAGAAGCAAAGATATTGTCTCTGGTGTATTTTTGGCGGCCATTTTGAAAAATGTGTATATTTCCAATATAAAGCGCCATCTAGCTTGTGTCTTTGGATAAAATTTCTATAGCCCTAAGGTACTTCCATGCCAAAAGGGACATTTGCATCATACAATGAAGTCCAAATGTAGTTAACCCGTCTACTAGAGTAATCAATACTAAAAACAGATCATCATATAATTCCTCAAAAAACTCTCAGGGCCCACGTTTTCGATTTGAAAAACACTGCTAGCCTAACGTACAAGGTAATTTATTGGCTGTGATATTTGAAATATTCATATAAATCAGACAATTTTGTAGACATATATGACAGTAGTACTACTCATTTAGGGTTAAAACAATCGAATGAAGAAAATCTGCAGTCATCTCAACAATTGTGTGGGTTGTCAGACATCATATGATATAATATTCCATTCTATCCTGATGTCTGAGTTGATCAAATAATATTTATGAATAGATATCTTTAAATTATGAATATCAAAAATTCAAAATATGAGAAGTATGTTAAATACTTTTGATGGCATCTCTCTTGCATAGTATTCCATGGGAGCTGTTATCACAGTTTATATTTTGCCATCCTACAAAGTTGTTGGATAAAACCACACAATCTAAGTCATCACCATCCGGACTTGTTCTTGGGTTATCAGTAGCCCAGTTTGTGTAATTCAAAAAGGTACCATCACTCCATGCAAAGTCCCCTTCCTGGAGGTCATCTCGCAATCCTATCCATATGATTGTTGACCTAGATTTATAACCATAATGAATACAAACCCTTTTCGTAACAACGTAAACCTTTCATTTCATTAACAATTAGATACGTTTTTAAATGAACCAAACTTTCTTTTGTACAATTACAATAATGAGAGACCTAAAAACGTTGTGTATATTTCATTTTGTTCCAATGAGATTGATTTGGATAAATGTTCCATTTCATTCCGAAAATATAATACCGAGAACAAAAGAAGTGTCTGGTGTATTTTCTAAAACAATATAGAGAAAAGTACATTTTTCAAATTAAATTGTTGCCATCCAAAAGATGATCATTAATTGTCGATGTGTAAAATTTTAAAATTTTAAAGCTTCGTAGCCTCCCCTTGATACAAATTATCCTGCTTTAGATTCTTGACCAGCCAACCTATAGTTTCTGGTGGAATATATCCTAATTTTTAACTGAAATTCAACGTTGGCCTATATAGAATGAAAACTACGTATTTCTGATAAAAATGATTTTTTTGTTGTCATACTGATTACTGAATACGATGTAACGTATCTCTTGTCATGATCAAAAGAGACTAAGCACACCATTGAAAAGTTATTTTTGTCATATTGAATGTATTTTTACCAGAATGACGTTTAACAACAGAGAAATCGATATGATATTGTCGTTTTGAATGTCTTTTTACCAGATTCGTTTTTCAATTGAGAATTCAAACATTTTTTTGAAAGATGACAACGTGATTTTGCGCCAGACTTACAACATTAATACTTTTTTATCGTGACTGAAATGGTTTATAGTACTGAAGCTATGGCTTAGTATAGCTATTCTAGTGGGTTTTGACAGAATGAAATTGGTCTTCTTACAACTGAGACATCACTTAAAAATATTACATTACAGACCACGGTGATGTTACGTTTTTCATGTCCGTTTTTCATCCGATTTAAAATGGTTCAACTTTTAATCACGACCTTGTAAGGGTACTATAATCATTGGATTCATAGTTTTTAGTTTTATTTCCATCTAATTTTGCGTGTTTCCATCTTTCTGTAGAAGGCCGGCCACCGACCACGTGCACCCAACTGTCGGTCTTTCTTGTAAACAGATTAACCCCGGAAAAGTTTACCACAAATTACTTGGCTTTCAGCTTACCCTATCAATCCTTTGATAAAATTATCTTCATCCTGACTAGATATGCTGACAGAGACATCATTGTTCTGCGTACAAGCCCAGTTCTTCATACTGAAGGTATTAGGGTCAGAGTCCAGAATATAGCACCAAGAACTCCATATAGTGTAGCCACCGGGACATGCTTCTGCAACATAACATACACTTAAATCTCGACGTCTCCAGAAACCGATGATAACTGCGAGTTTTTACACCATCGTACAAATATTTAGCAATTGCTAGCTAGCAGCTAATCCGCACGCATGATACCACGCCTAACCATCGACAACGTCAGCGTCAAAAATACCGCCGCACAGTCCATTTGTATATTGATATTTGGATGGCCGTTTCTCTCGACGGAGGAATCGGAGTAGAAATATCATTGATTTTATGAGCATTGGGTCAGTTAACCTCCAATGATTAAATCGTCAATATGTATACTGTATCTACTTCAGATTTATTTATTTACAAATTATTGCTACTAATATATCTTAATAGATCAATTCTTAGGTTTCCATTCACTCCTGGTAACAAGCATTTTAAGTCGAAGGAATATATATTCGAAACACGTTTAATTCTAAAGCTTTCTAGACAAACAAGGGGTAAAGAAGAATCACAACTACCTATGTTTAACAACATTTGTACTAGGGACACTTGATTGGAACAACATTTGGATTTCCACCCAAAAACTTATGGAATTTGAAGTTATAAATACTAAATTCTTTGTATTACATCTCATCAATTCCAATGACATCGTCAACTTACTATTGACACGCCAATGTACAGTTGGTGCGTCAACGGATCTGATATTTATAATATACAGAATGAATGATTATCTTTTTTTTCACTTTCCCGCCGTTTTTCAATTAAAAGTTGAGATTTTAAAATATTCCATTATACAGGGTGTTCCAAAAGTAACAGGACTGATGCTGGCATTTTGTTAAATATTCACTAATAGTCTTCAAAATTTTACATAATGTACTTCCATGTATCGTTACTAAAACTGTAAGGTTTCGACAAAAAATATGAAACTCTGGTAGAGTTATGGTTGCTATGGTAACATGACATCACAATACCCGGGGCAACATTTTTATGCTGGGTTACAGAGACATTAAGCATTTTGTACATCCCATATCAAAGTTGAAATGCAACAACTGGTGGGAATTACATTTGCTTTACATCATTTTATATTCCTATGTATTCCCTTCTTTGAAAGGAAGGCTTCTCTTTGGTCAGTAGAAGAGTAGCACTCTGTATCCATGACTCAAACACATGAGTCAACCCATTTGAGGACATGTCACGCAGGGTAGGTCGGAGAAGGTCATTCTCATCTTTAAAGGTCTTACAGCACTGATTAGCATTCCATTCTCCATTATAAGTAAAAATTAGATATTGCATGATCAGAAGAGTATGGTACATGGTTTTAAACCTCAAGACATAGCTCTTCTATAGCTGCATGGTTTTTTAAGGCTGACCTGCGGGCAGGCGCATCATCAATGTGCATGACTGGCTTCAAATTGGGTCTTTTCAAAAACTCAACCATGAATTGTTCAGACTGTTGTACATAGTGATATTCCAGGGAATCGAATAAATATTATTATTATGAAATTATACTTGAATCTGAGTTGTATAGCAACACCTTTACAACAAAGCAACTCATAAAATAAACCAAGAAGTGTTGTATTACAATAGGTGAATTAGATACTTTCTTCAGTAATACAAAAATGTTATATATCACATTTTCAGGAAAGAGTTGCCCCGGGTACTGTGATGTCATGTTACTATAGTAACCATAACTCTACTCACATTTAATCATTTTTTCTGAACCTTTACGATGTTAGTTGTTATACTTCAAAGTACAATTTGTGAAAATTTGAAGACACTCGGTGCAACATTGACAAACTGCCAGCACCAGTCCTGTTACTTTTGGAACACCCTGTACAGTGCAAAACACATTATTTTTAACACTAATTCGAAGATTGAACAAATAGTCCCTGATCTGGTCCCTCTGAAAACAAGTTTTGTTGTCCGGTACTTTCCCACATGAAATGATTGTACCGTTTGATAGAACAGACTTCCCTCATAAAGAAAACACCTCTTATATTGATAGAAACAGGGGCAAAAGGCACCAAAATGGGGTTAGACAAGGTGGCATTCTGAAGTCTCACTTTCTAGTCATCACGATTCCAGGAAAACCACTGGATTGATTTACTTCAAATTTTCACACATGTTACATGGTAAGAAGTTCTAGAGCTGATTAACTTTCCGGCGGCCATCTTGCATTCTGGTGGCCATCTTGGAATTTTTTTAAATAAATATTGTCATCGCGATTTCAGAAAAACCACTTTACAGATGTACTTTAAATTTTCACACATGTTACATGGTAAAAAGTCCTAGAGCTCATTCGTTTTCCGGTGGCCGTTTTACATTCTGGCGGCCATCTTGGAAGTTTTAAGATAAATCTTGTCATCATGATTTCAGGAAAACCAAACGGATTTACTTCAAATTTTCACACATGTTACAAAGAAGTTCTAAAGCTGAATAACTTTTCAGTGGCCATCTTGCATTTTGGCAGCCATCTTGAAAGTTTTTCGATAAATCTTGTCATCGCGATGCCAGGGAAACCACTGAACAGATTTACTTCAAATTTTCACACATGTTACATGGTAAGAAGTCATAGAGCTCATTCGTTTTCCGGTGGCCATCTTGCATTCTGGCGGCCATCTTGAAAGTTTTTAGATAAATCTTGTCATCGCGATTTCAGGAAAACCAAACGAATTTACTTCAAATTTTCACACATGGTAAGGAGTTCTAGAGTTGATTAACTTTTCGGCGGCCATCTTGCATTCTGGTGGCCATCTAAGAAGTCTTTAGATAAATCTTGTCATCGCAATTCCAGGAAAAACAACTTAACAGATTTTACTTCAAATTTTCACAGAGGTTACATGGTACAAAGTCCTAGAGCTCATTCGTTTTCCGGTGGCCATCTTGCATTCTGGCGGCCATCTTGGAAGTTTTAAGATAAATCTTGTCATCGCGATTTCAGGAATACCAAACAAAGGACGATTCTCGGTTTGGAGAACAGTCTCCTGGGCTAATAATTTTTTTCATGAAAAATATAGAAATATTACACAAATTAAACTATGAATATTCAAAAGAGGACATTTAAATCTACAAGATGTAAAAATAACAAATTGGTCTGAAGCAGGGATAACGCTCAATTAGACTGATTCAATAAAATACGAGTCTCGATTTGGGGAAAGAAGTTCATCAGTGTACTGCGCTCATATTTTTTTGCCGAAAATCTAGAAATATTACCCAAATTAAATTATGACTATTCAAAAGAAGACATTCAAATCTATATTATGTAAAAAATCAATCTTGTCCGAAGCAGGGATAATGCTCATTTACATTGATGAACTTCGTTCTCTAAACTGAGAATCGTCCTTTACTTCAAATTTTCACACATGTGTTACATGGTAAGAAGTTCTAGAGCTGATTACTTGTAACTTTTCGGCGGCCATCTTGCATTCTGGTGGCCATTACTAGGAAGTTTTTAGATAAATCTTGACATCGCGATTCCAGGAAAACAACTTAACAGATTTTTTTCAAATTTTAACACTTGTTAATAGAAAGAAGTTCTAGCTCTGACTTCGTTCTCCAAACCGAGAATCGTCCTTTACTTCAAATTTTCACACATGTGTTACATGGTAAAAAGTTCTAGAGCTGATTAACTTTTCGGCGGCCATTTTGCATTCTGGTGGCCATCTTGGAAGTTTTACATAAATCTTGTCATCGCGTATCATGATTCCAGGAAAACCACTTAACGGATTGTCTTCAAATTTTTACATGGTAAGAGGTTTTTCAACTGATTAACTTTTCGGCGGCCATCTTGCTTTCTGGGCCATCAAGTCCACACTGCTACATGTATGTTTTAGGTACGATCCTGTTCACCATGTGCTTTGTACTTTATACCACAAATATGATTTTGTGTTTATACTTCCCTCATAAAGAAAGCAGCTTTTATATTGATATAAACAGGGGCAAAAGGCACTAAAATGGGATTACGCAAGGTTGCATTCTAAAGACAACTTTTCACTTTTTCTTTATTTTATACCACAGAGGTGCATATTTCGTGTATGGTATCAAGTTATTTTTAAAACCTTGATATATTGAAACGGGGCGAAAGGCACTACGTGAGGTTATAAGTGAGGTTACACAAGGTCGTATTCTAAAGACAACGTTTAATATGCTTCTAATAATTTGACACAAATGCAGATCATGTATGATATAATCTTCTATATTAATAGAAACATGCTTCAATGGGGTAACACAAGGTGATATTCTAAAATATAACTTTTTATTCTGTTTCTGTGCTTTATACCACACAAATGCATTTTGTGTTTGACATCAATCGATTTTTAGAATAAATTACTACATTACCTTTAATCAATAAAAAAGATTATTGAAAACGTCAAACATTTCTTTGAAATCCAACAATGCACAGTGATTTTTGGAGTGAAATGTATGCTAAATTGGCATTGATCTGAGTATATTACGAAATTGAAGCTCTTTTAAGAGAAGATATATGTATGTGGCCTATATGTATGGACAACTTTTCACTGTGCACCATGTCACGAGACCTTTATAACTTCTAAAAATCAATTGATGTCATACACAAAATGCATCTATTATGTGGTATAAAGTACAAACACATAGTAAACAAGGAACAAGGTGAACAATATCGTACCTATAACATAGCAGTGTGGACTTGATGACCCAGAAAGCAAGATGGCCACCGAAAACTTCTAGAACTTCTTACCATGTAACATGTGTAAAGATTTCAAGAAAATCAGTTAAGTGGTTTTCCTGGAATTAGTCCAGGAGTAAACGAATGAAACACATTAAATTCTCAGACATTTAGCTGGCCATAAATATTGTTTCAATGACAGAACAGATTATCTTAATGTTTCAGTTTGAAATTCTATATCTCTGTTCATATGAGTATACTAGTAGATAGAATATCTGTATCAGCTATTTGAATGTCAAAGCAACTTTTAATACTTGTAGTTCAATGCAGAGTTTTTACATTTCAATTAGACCATAGGCATAGCAATGGGGGGTGCAATTGGTGATCGCACCCCCACC